GCTGGGTTGCTTGAAGAGCAGGTCCACCAGATGCTTCGTGAGTGGAAAGCTGAGCTCAATGAGCCTTCCCCTGCCTCTTCTTTGCAGGCAAGAACCAACCTTTCGTCCCTTTAGGGGTGTGTGTGTCTGTGTGTGTGAAGTGGGTGTAGTTACCTTTACTGTCCACAATGTCCATGTTTTGATATTGGCCAGTACACATCAGTCTTAAATTAATGTGATCAAATTTTGATATTTCTATGTCGACCTGCATGTGTTTTTATCTGAGTGTGTTTGTAATGTTTAATGTTATGTTTGATTGAAGTATCTTGAACAAATGCTTACAAATTTTTGGATATATTACACGTGCAAATTTGAATCACTTGAAGAGTAATTGTGTCGGTCTCCATTATGGTGTAATTGTGTGCAATCATGGGAGCTAGTGTTTTAAGTATATTTCTGTGTTCAAGCCTTTTATAGTTTTAATGCACATGAAGTCGTAGCATTTATCTTATTACATGGTGCGCAGGGAGGAAGCCGTATCTCATCAGACCTCTATAGGCTGCTGCATGGTGAGGAGGAAGATGATGCTACCAGTGCATTAGCTGCTCCTAAGCCTGAGCCTGATGCTCAAAAACAAGATGTTGCTGGTTTCCAGGAGGTAATTATTTTCCTTGAGATTATCTTGTTCATGTGATGGACACTTGACCGTTATTGTTTCTAACAGAATGAACCTTCTCCGAATCCATTTTAGAATACGGTTGGTTGGTTATTCATCTTAGGAGTTTCAATTTTATTGTAGTTCGTGTATTGCTAGACTCTCCATCTTTGTTTTATTTGACCCAGTTTCCATCTTTTATTTTCCCAGCTTAATTAATCATTGGTTGTTGCGATTTTGATAGCTGAGAATGTGAAAGAGAAATATTGCTAATGTTAGCTGATGCTATATGCGTTGGATCCATGTAGGGATGGTATTGTATTATTTTGGGATGCAGTGGTTGATACGAGACACTCAGAGATATGTTATGCTGCTGGTTAGTTAGAAGTAAGGGATGATACCATAGGGTGGGAGGTTGTGCACGTCTAGGTCTTATGTGGGTTGTATGGAGAGAGAAATAGGTGAGCGTTAGATGAAATTGAAATGATGTTGTACATTCGAGAAATAGCCTTTTGTCTTTGATTGCTCTTTTGTGCACCCTTAAATTCCTATTTGTATAGACGACTGGGTGTCACTTGAAGAGAATCATATTCTTTTGTAGAGTCTCTGCCTTTTGGTATGCCTTTTGTATGCGGCGGAGCTTTTACAATGTAAGTAACATTATTTACCTTATCAACAGAAAAGTGATCTCTCGATATGTGATATACCTTTTTTTTTCTTGTCCTGGTAGACCACAGTGTGGAAGTCCATTGTATTTTTTGATCGTATATTCTTGTAGAGTAGGTGCTTAATTTGGTTTATCTGAAACATGTTAGTTTCCTTGTAAATTGAATCTAATTTTTGTTATATAAATTTTTCTCCACTATTGCCTTAGTTTCTTCGATCTATTGCCCCCTGGAAGCTTGCAGACAAGAGTGTACATGGTTTGGTTTGGATGGGTTTTCCTCTATAAGGAAACTAAACCTATTAAGTCGGGTTTTTAAATGTTATAACCAAACCAAACCAATTAAGCTGGTCTTTCATCTCTTCGGTTCTGGTCCCAGAAGGCGCTTTTGGAAGTATCTCAAAATTTGGAAACTGTGAATGTTATTCAGTTTTCCTCAGTCCCTCATTACACATTAATCAATCAATCAATCAACTGTCGCACCAAATTAGTTAGGGCTAGTTAACATCCTTTGTATCCATTCTGCTATATTCAAAGGATCAGCATAGCTAGACTATTTTCCTGTTGGCCTTAAACCCATCAGGATTTTTTCCTTTAATCCTGGCTGGGACCAGCTGTGCTTTGGAAAGTTCACAGAGGCTGAGTTCTCTCTCTGTTACATTTGTTGAATAAATTTATTCGTACCATTTGCTGGTTGTGTCTAATTCCTTTTTGCCTAAAGGACTCAAGATAGTAGTTGACTAGTGACAGCTTTAAATCTTTAATCTTCTTTTTGATATAGCTGGCTTGGTATTGTGGACTCGTAAATGCTTTCCTCCAAATTGTGTCCTCATAATGTATTGTGTCATGACTGACCATCTTGTTGAAGTTTTACTTCTTGCTTCAATTTGATAATCCGTTTGCCGGCATTTTTTCTTTTTCTAGCCTCATTCTCCAATGAATGTCACTCCTTGTAGAGACTTCTTGACCGTCCTTTTTCAACTAGCTTTTCTTTTGAATTCTTTTTTCTCAAATCAGTTTCACCCATTAATTTTATCAATGAATCCTCACTAGTTAAGTGATGTGTTTTCTGCAGGATTTCAATGCAACCCCGGTGATGCAGGAACAAGGTTACCAGCTGGATGATGAATGCAAAAATACACCTTTAGCCGTCAACAATGCAGGGATTAACAATGAAGGCGTTGCAACACAATTAGATTACCATTCTTTTGATCTGCAGCAAGATTTCGATCAGTTTGGATTTGATGCTTTAAATCTCTGCCTAGAGGAGAATTTGTCTCCTATTCAGATTAGCCCTCCACCCTCTGCTTTCCTGGGACCTAAATGTGCACTTTGGGATTGTCCTCGACCTGCGATGGGGTCAGATTGGTGCCAGAAGTCTCATGACTACTGCAGTGACTATCATGCTGCTCTTGCGCCTAATGAAGGCTATCTTGGAAGACCTCCAGTTGTTCGACCAATGGGTGTTGGCTTAAAGGATAGTTTACTTTTCCAAGCACTAAGTGCTAAAGCACACGGGAAAGATGTTGGGGTTCCAGAATGTAGGGGCGCTGCCACTGCAAAGTCCCCCTGGAATGCACCAGGTTAGTGTGCTAAGACAGTTCTGTATTTCTGATTGCTGAATGTCATGCACCAGATCAGTTTATTCTTGTTTTGTTTTACTTGTAAAATCTGATATCGATTCGTTTGCTTGTGCTTCTGCAGAGCTCTTTGACCTTGAAGTTGTTGAGGGTGAAACAATCAGGGAATGGCTTTTCTTTGATAAGCCTCGAAGAGCATTTGAAAGTGGAAACAGAAAGCAGAGGTCACTGCCTGATTATAACGGGCGGGGTTGGCATGAGTCTAGGAAGCAAGTGATAAATGATTATGGAGGGCTGAAGAGATCCTACTATATGGATCCACAGCCGATGAAAAATCTGGAATGGCATTTGTATGAATATGAGATCAACAAGTATGATGCATGGGCCTTGTACAGATTGGAGCTGAAACTTGTTGATGGGAAGAAGAGTCCAAAAGGGAAAGTAATGAATGAATCAGTTGCTGATTTGCAAAAGCAAATGGGAAGGCTCTCTGCTGATATTCCTTTGGAGAACAAGCGCTCTGTTAAAGGCAGAGGAAAGGCCAACTCAAAGGATGTTGTTACTAACGGGCCTCCTGCTCCAAATCAAACTGTTCCCGCTATTGAAGGGTTTGATTATGTGGCTGGTGCACCTTTCCCTGATTATCTTGTTGATAATATAGGTGGCTACTACATAACGTAGACCGGATTAGCAGTTGGGTGCTTTTAAAATATGTTGCATTTTGTCTGTGTATTATACTCAACCTCCAGTGGTGGCTGGAGTCAAACGGAGGTTCTTGTTTCCTTCTTATAAGGTGGAGGCATCTGTGGAACCCCCCTCCTGTTCCCGTAGGTACATTTGTCAATACATCATTGTCATCTAAAAGTGTTGTTACAGTCTAACCTCGAAGCATTTTTAACTACTTGAAGATGAGGTGGATAATCCCTGTTTACTTGTTCAGTTAACTTTACATATCAGCCAAGTTATGAAAGTGAATGCAGTTAATGGTTTTTGTGTCTGGATTCAGTGACGACAAGGAATGATCATTAAGCTTTACTGATCTGCCTCTGTTTTCACCTGACTTTCATCGTAGTTATGACTTACATAGGAATGACAGTTTCATATGCATGGGTTGAGAGTTCTACCCGGTGTGATAAATTCATGGATTGGTAATATGTTGGATTATTTTTGGTGTGTACAGTATCCATGGATGTAGTAAAGTAAATGAAGTAACGTCTTTTATCGACAGTAAAGACATGATTAACTACAACTTCCGTTATAAAATAAAATTTCGATAGTAGGTTTTATAGTTTCCAAAAAGAGACTAACTTATTTTTACGACGGATTCTGTTTTACCGTTTGTGCCCATTTAGGAAGCAACCGAACCAAGAATTAGAAATAGAATCCAATTAGGGTCTTGCGCTGTCTTGGTAGTAGCAACATGGCTTGAAATAACTAAAAGCTCCTCCTTGTCAATAATTTATGTGCAAAGGCAACACGAGATAAGACAAATAAGGATATCTTTGTGACCATCTGTCAATATTAGATAGTAATTCAATATTACATTTCTATTTTGAAAAAAAAATAAATAATGAATGGTATTTGATAGAACGATACAGTACTACTATGAAGTTCAGTAAATGCTATAACTAAATGGTAGATAAAATAATGATAAATAATACTTCGAAGTCTACTCTCTGATCACTTATGATTTACGAAGATGTTTCTATTCATCAAATCGATTTTATTAGTCACATATAATTGACGTGAAATTCTTCTCTATTTATAACATATCACTTATTTACATGTGCTTTTTGATTTTTTTAGAAAAAAATAATTTCTAGCTTCAGTTAAAACCAAAAAATAAGAAGCTATTGAGTGTGCTTGTTCAACCAAACGTGACGCTACCATCTTCGTTATGACAAATGGTTCATTGGATTTATTGCCCTAATAATTACATTATTTTTTCTTAACCAACTTGTGTATCCATCTTGATATTTGAACCAAGTTTCCTATCGATGATGGTACATAGCACAGGCAAATTGTACACAAGCATTTCATAGCATGAATAAGTTGTTGACTATTAGTAAGCTTTGAATATTAGTTGCCCTGGTTGAAATCTACTAGATCATATGGAGTAAAATTCAATCTCACACGACCTGTAATAGCACATTCAGAATATAATTCACGATAATCTATTTCAAATTATTTGAACATAGAAAGCCTGTCACACATGGAGCTTATTTATCAAACCCAAGAGGCTTTTGCAACTTCAAGTACAACTTTAGTAATGAAACAGAGAAATATCAACAGAACTAACATCAAAGCTAAAGTCGGCTTTAGATCATCTTCAGGCTACTGACTACACAACTAAAGCAGACTCACTAGAACCTAAGAACCATCATCGTCTTCAAGGTTGTTCACACGTTCGCACTCGTCAATCCATTCACTGTATCTGTAAGTTTTCAGAAAAAAGAGTATGAGAGGGATAGGGGTACGAAGGAAGGAAAGCAGGACACAAAGCAATGCTAGGATGAACTTACATGTCAATGGCCTCTGTCAGTGCTGCAGGATAAAAAAGTAACAACTGTTAGCAAAACAATGAAACTATTACTAAGAAGCTATTTTATGAAGCATGTAACGCTCATCTAAAAGATTATGTCGTAAGAGATGGGAGGCACTTTTATCATTTATTTTAGATTTGTAACACGCCTCTATCTACTCCATTTTGCAGGCTAAGGACAGAATAATGTGCTAAAACAAACTTGAAACAATTATATGCAGCTTGTCCTCTTGTCCTTTTGATAACTAAAAAATCCCAACAGCACAGCTCAAAAATTTGTAGGTATTGATGATTAGCAATGGAGCATATCTTATCTTGTATTCTTTATCTTACACAAGGCGTTTAGAGCACATCTTGTACTCTTTTATCTTACAGAAGCACAACATGCAGATAACTAAAATTGAACATAATAATTGATTTGATCATAAAAAACAATGAGGTAGAACATAAAAGGAAAATATCTTTAGTTTCTTTTTCCATCTTTCTAAGTTGGTCCCTCCCATGTTTTATGTTGTCAAACCAATTGAACCATCTTTTTCAAAATGAATCAGATTCAGTGAAACAATAAATAAATTAATAAATGAGAAATCACGAGATATATACCTGTAACAGTGGTGCTGAAGCTCTCTTGACAAATCCTGCAATTTGCCTCCCCAATCAAGTTCTTCATATCACTGGAAAACAGGTAAGTGCAAACTTGAGGATTGACAGATTAAATAAATGTCCAACAATAATTAAATGGTAGTACACACTTTAGCTGCGTTACTGAACTTATTTATCTGACCTATAGAGGAAGACACAGCTTATTCCTCAGCTACTTTTGGCTGCAGTAAGGATGAGCTTCATGATTTTGATTTTTGTGTGTGTGTGTTTATAATTATCAAGCACCTTCAACAGGGACTATAGCTCACCCTTATTGGACTTGGGAGTTATTACCCACTTCTACAAGTATACCTCCATAGAATGCACTAATTCCAAGAGGGGTATTTTGATGTGCACAAATCAAACCCCAAGGAAAAGTATTGATATTCTTCTAAAGGAAGTCTAAGTGACAGGATCTAGCAAGGAAAGGGAAGTATATAAAGGTACACGTAGTGGTATCCAATCACAATTACATATCCTTCTATCTTTTACCCACATAAAAAATGTCTAAAATGGTACACATTAAAGAATGGAAAAGCCGATCTAGCTGATGGATATGCAGAAAATAACTCGGGACACAGAAATGCTAATGTAATTAACTTACATGCGACATTCGACACTGGTGCCATGGCTACAGAAAGGACAACTGAAGACAGTGTCAAGTTTGTCCATTCTTTTCTTTGGAGGAGGCTTTGATTTCGACTTCCTCTTTCCCATAGCTCAAGCAACTGTAAAACACAAAATTAGGAACACATATCAGCAACAAGAAGCCAAGGTAAATCATTAATGGGGATTGTGACACTTATAGCTTCTTCTGCACCCTGTTTTAACTGGTTCCATCTCAAATTTGAGTTACTTTACTTCATTGCACCATGATAGGAACAAATCAGATGTAGCAACTATGCCGACCTTACATAGCATTAACTGTTATGCAAAAAAAAGTAAAATATTCAAACCAGAAGAAACGAAGAATTAAGAGACACATTTGCATGTTCATACACAATCTCACTTTCAAGCGCACATACTTCGGTTCCAAAATTAGTTATTGTATCTTATCCCAGGGAATTACTTGTGCCACCTATACGACCTTCTTCCTTTTGTCCACATGTTTCATAAAATAAGGAAAGCTGTAAGCCAGTACTTGTGTTCTTATCTAACTAAAGATTCAGTAACTACCAAGGTGATGACACATCAAACATGTATGGATACGTATTCCTAAGCTATAAATAACCCCTCAAATAATCAATTAGGTATGAACTTCAAAACTGGATACGAGCACTCGCAACATGATGCAACTTATAAGATAACAGAATATACAATCGAACTTTAATCAAAACCTTGCTCCACTGAAAAATAGAGGTACATTGGACCATAAACAGCATGAAACTTCCGAATATTTCCTTGAAACATTCCAAGAGGCAATAAGTGAAATACAATAACGTCAAATCAAGTGCCATTAGATAATCATAAACCATATTTGGGAACACATTCAAGTACGAAAAGTCGACCAAATCTCCAATCAACGGATTCTCTATGAAAACACAAATAACAGAATGCAATTCCGTATTCAACCCAGAATTCATCAATAACTCAAAGCGGTAAAATTTCCCAAAATACAAAACCCTAGAGTTCAACTAAACAATTATTTCTAGCGATTCATATAAAGATTTAGAGAAATTCTCAAAGCAGAATCATGGAATATCAACAATTCTTTCATTTCAGCCATAGCAAGAGATTATATACCTGATGAAGAACAGAGATTGATATCGCTTTTTCGTTATCTGCGAAAACAAGATTGAAATTTTACGAGAAAATTCTATGAAGAGAAAGGAAAAAAAGAGAGAAAAAAATTCTATGAAGAGAAACTCACCGCTACACACTCGGTTGTTTGTCGACTATTGGAAAAAAAAAGAGTATTTATATTTATATAGTCCAAAGAATATACTAAAACCTTTAGTATGTACAATTTCGGAAAGACAACTGTTTTTGGATAAGTCTCAAATAACATACTATATATTTTATATAAGAGATTTAGAAAAGGAAAAAAATTAATAGAGATATTAACATTCGAAATTATTATTAAAATAATAAAGGAATTCTGAATATTTTGTGTTTCTTTCGAAACGCAAATAACATATATTTAAGTGGATATAAAGAAAGAAAATAAAAATAACAAATTCAAACATACACATAAACATACAGAAAAAAATAATAATGAATATGTATATAATTTCCTGATTTAAATAATTTATATTAAAATAAATGTAAAAAATGAAATATAATAAAATCACGTAAATAATTATAAAATTAAAATTGTACATAAAAAGAAAATGATAAACATTTATGTAATACAAATATTTATTAAAGTTAGATGGCTAACCTTTTTCCTTTTAGAGCTAGCTTTATACCATGTAATTTCTAATATCGATACGAATTTTTTGCATAATAATTAGAAATACAATATGCATTGTCCTTATATATATTTTTTTTAAATATTTTATCTAGATGTTCATCGTAATAATCATAAAGTAATGTCTTTCTCTATATATAAAAATGAAGAAAGTTTCGAGCTATATGTATGTTCGATTATCATGAATCTTTACCATAATTTTTTTTCTAGGAACAAAAAAGATGTGCTGAAACAATAAATAAATAAATAAATAAATATATATATATATATATAAAACATGTGTCGGGTGATTTTGTTGTTATAAATTAGATGACTTTGTTATCCCAAATAATGCATGAATAACTTTTTTGCATTTCACCTTTAACTAGAGATTTCGATTTTGAGCCCTGAATGGAAATAAATTTATTAGGAGAGCTATCCCAAATTTAACATGTAATATGCAATTCAAATTTAATTAAAACTTCAATATACACTATGAACACTGAGTAGATAACCTAAAAAGAAATTTTATTGAGTTATTTCCTTTAATTGGATGACCATTTAAGGAACTTACTCAATAGATTCATGATTTATGTGACTTACAAAGATTTTCAAACTTAATAACACGAGACACTTCATTTTCTTTGTTAATGATTTTTCAAGAATGACGTGGTTCTATTTTCAAGCCTATCATATTTGTTCACGTTACTTACCTAAATTGATATGACAACTAATTTCAGCAAGATTACGATAATAATCTTATATAATCTCATAATGAGGTAAAAAATAATGGAATATACGTAGATATTATTCGTTTTTTAGTGGGACAAAAAAACTATTTTCAACAAATAAATGAAAAGTTGCTAACACACTCAAAGTTAACCTAGATGAAATAGATTAAGCCCACATCCTCTTGTTTCATAACTTATTGGGAAGGGCGATTCCTAGGCTGATTTGGGCCGTCCAAAATCACGGGTTGATTTGGGCTGCAAATGTGGCCCGTCAGTAAATCATCTCATGCACAGGCCCATTAAATTATTCATGGATCGGACACGGGTCACATAAATTTGGGCCAAGCTTGATTGTAATGAACTTATGATTATTTTGCTTGTGCCAATAGTTCGAACGAGACTTAAATGTATAGGTTAGACGGGGAATTTTATATATATTTTTAATATGTCAATGATTGACAATATAATCATATTCATATCAGAGTATTAATTAGATAAGGATCGTTCCACTGTCTCATACTCTCATTAACTGTGAAATCTTGACATTAAATATTATAATAGTCATACTGATTAACCAATTTTTTTAATGAGAAATAGTACTCGTTTTTTTCCTCGCAAAAGTTTCTTTAAGATAAACTTAATTAAGTGGGAAAAAGAGAACTTGCTTTAGATGCGTTCAACAGGGAGAAAAAGAAATAGAAGATGTTTTTCAACTTTTTTTAATTTTATTGATAAAAGATTTTGAAATATATTTAGTCTAAGAAAATAAATTTATTTTAAAATGAGGAAAAATGACCTTTCTACTTAAGAAAATAAATTTATTTATATTCTCACACCTCCTATCCCAACCTTCCACCTTTAAATTCATAATATCTATCTAAGTTATTTATTAAATATTTATTGAATAATACTACTTTTTACTTATGTGTCAAATACAACGGACTAACAAGAGAGAATTGCTAGAATGATAAGAACCCTAACTTTCTAATACTAAAATAGTAAAATTCAAATTATCAAGAATGAAAAAAAAAGGGATAGAGAATCTTAGAAAGGGGTAAAAGCAAAATTAAAATAGAAGTAAAAACAGAAAGGGTGTGGGAAAATATAAAACTTATAATTTTAGCCTTATTTTATTATTACAAAATTAATGAAAGAAAAGGGACTATAGTGTAAGATATTGAATATTGATTGATAACTGAGTTATTATAAAATTCTCAGAATAATAAAAGATATACTTTGGATTGTGTGTGGAAAATGAAAAAACTTGTTTTCAAAACGTTATAACTTTTTAAGTTTAGTAAGTTGAAAAGGAAATTAAATAATGAAATTTGATTTTGATTTTAATTCACAAGGAAATTTGACTTTGTTAATTTCATGCATCAATATTCAAGACACAATTTCAATCTTCTTTTTACTTTGCATAGTTTGACTTTTATTTTAAATAAAAACTACATAATCTTAAAAAAGTAAATAGTCATTATACCACCAATTAATAACTAGTGATTAAATGCTTTTTATAATAAGGTTAAATGATTGGTAATAGTTAATTACTATTTCGTTTCTCATGATGCACACTTTTATGGTCGCTGTCAATCACGTTTCTTAGCATTTAAATTGTGAGAGACAAATAGATAGAATTATAGAAACAAATAAAATTGAATAAAGTTAGGCTGAGCATTCTTAATCTATTGCCAACCACTTCATCGTCAGAATTTTATGGCAAAACATAATAAATTAATTAAAAAAATATTTAATTAATGTTCTTTTGATTTTAGTAAGGCGATCAACTAATACAAGACAACTATTTATTATTACATGTGGTTAACTAATATGAGAAAACTATTTTTAGTAAGGTGATCAACTAATATGTAATGAGAGATGTTTAATTGAATATCAATTTAAGAAGACTATTTTTTTTGTTCGAATTTTAAAGTTAAATTAGTACTATCATATATAAAAATATTTTTTTAACTAACTAAAAGAATATATCATATAAATTGAAAAATATAAAGTTCAAAATAAATATTAAAAAGATAATTAATAAATTTTTTTTAAAAAAAAATATCTAATTCATTTTAAATTAAGAAAAAAGTTTCCAATAATTTATTTAATATGGACGATAGAAACAGTTGAGTTACCAATTAAAAATGGAAAATACTAGGTGGATAGATTCGATAGTATTGGCCTATTGGGATTTGAAGCTCACCGTTTAATGTAAACCTACCACACACAAAACTAGTGTACATTAGGTTGGTCCATTTTGAAATGTTCTTTTGGCTCGTATTCTATTAAATATAATTACTAAAAAAGTACACAAAAAGATAAAACAACAGTTCTAGATAGAAAATTACACTCCTTGATTTCAAACATAAGGTAATTAAATTAATCATGGGAATCATGGCAGAGTTGATAGTATTTCTTATGTTTTAAAATTAAAAATTTATGTTTGAGTTCTAATTTTTTTCAAATCAAATCAAACTCTCAAATGAATATAAAAAAATTGCAATCGAATGAATTAAACACAAATCCAAGCAAATTCAGTAAGACAAACATACCCCTTGCATCAGTAACACAGAAAAAAAAGTTACTACTTCAAAATCTCCGAAGTTAGTTATGTTTTGTTAATTAATTCCGAATCCGCTTTGTTTACAAACAAAGAAGTAATGCAACTATAAATCTCATGGAGAGTTCGATCCTGACATGAATGGTGGCGGCATGCTTAATTAATACATGCAATTTGGACGGAAAACACAAAAAATGGATGTTTTCAATGGCGGAAGGGTAGGTAACACGTAAGAACTTGTCCATGGGAGGGAAACAACACCTGGAAACGACTGCTAATACCCCGCAATCTAAGGAGCAAAAGGAGCAATCGTCCGAGAAGGGGCTCGCGTCTGATTAGTTGGTGAGGCATAGCTTACTAAGACGATGATCAGTAGCTGATCTGAGAGGATGATCAGCTACAGTGGGACTGCAGTAGTATATGGATTCTACTTTCTACTATATGATAAATGGGACATGTGATCTTTAAAAATAATTTTGAGGACAGTATGGTCATTAAAAAAGTAGCATATACTATTTACAAATTACATTAAAAAAATATAAGAAATCAAAACAATAAACATAAAGCATATAAACAGTTTGATTGACTCTTGAAATTCTGTTTGTATACTTCAATTTGGATAAAGGAAGTAATGCATATTATTTTTAAATAATTAAATCATTATAATTAACAATTCCAATGTAAATCTTAATTAAATCTTCAAATTTTATCTGTATCACATAAATTAAAATATAAAAAATAATATCTATTAGACCCGTACTAGCACGGACACACTCCTATATCTAGTAGTATGGCTAAAGTTCGGTATATATCTACCATCATCGATTAATTAAAACGTGAGTAGATAAAATCATCTACTATTTTATTTTATATATATTTAATAAGTGAAAGTTTGGTGGTACAACGAAGGGTATTTAATAATTGCTTGGTCATTTAATTAATTAATTGAGGAATTAAGATTATTTTATCATTTTATAGAATAGAGGAAACGAGTTTTCTTCTCTATAAATACATTGGCTAAATGATAAGAACATACCAAGTAAAAACAAAGAGAGAAAAAAAAATGTCTAGCATGGCTGATAAATGGGAGGAACTTAGTGGGAAAAACAAATGGGAGGGGCTATTAAACCCATTGGATGTTGATCTTCGTAAATACATCATTCAATACGGAGAATTAGCTCATGTAACTTATGACACTTTCATTACAGAAAA